CACTCCAAATTTGGATCCCATTTCTCCCAATCTCCTTCCATCCCCTTCTCACCCTGGTGGCTGTGGAATCCAGTAAGGTTCCCGTGGGACTGAGTTGCTTTGAGGAGGGAACAAGGCACTTGGAAGTGGAATTGAGCCCTTCTGAATTAAAATGGAGGTGTTTTAAGTGGGATTTGAGTGGTTTTGAGGTGACAGATCGATACCTCTTTTGCAGAGAAAAGAGATGGAGAAGAGAAAAAAATGAATGCCAAAACAAAAGGATAAGCAGCCAGGTGTCTTCCCAACATGGATCCCACGGAATGTGGGTCACCAGGGCTCTGTGTGTCCTCCAGTGGGGAATGGAGTTGGAGCAGTGGACGAAGCTCTTCCCGCAGTCGAGGAACACACAGGGCTTCCCTTACCAGTGCCTCCGTTGGTGTCTGGTCAAGTCTGAGCTCCATGTGAAACTCTTCCCACACTCCTCACAATTGAAGGGCCTCTCCCCGGTGTGGATGCGCCGGTGGTTGATGAGGGTTGAATTTCGCCTGAAGCCTTTCCCACAGTCGGAGCACTGGAAAGGCCTCTCCTCCGTGTGTGTCTGGTAGTGCCTGAGGAGAGCAGAGCTGGTGGTAAGCCTCTTCCCACACTTGGAACACTCATAGGGCCTCTCCCCAGTGTGGATCATTTCGTGGCGGATCAGGCCAGAACGCTGCCTGAAGGCCTTCCCACACTCCTCACACTTGTATGGCCTTTTCCCAGTGTGGATGTTCTGATGGCGGATCAATGTGGTACGTTCACTGAAGCTCTTCCCACACTCCTCACACTTGTACGGCCTCTCCCCAGTGTGGGTCCTCTGGTGGCAGATCAGCTGGGAGCTCTGTCTGAAGCTCATCCCACATTCCTCACATTTGTGAGGCTTTTCCCCAGTGTGGATGAGCTGGTGCCTAACAAGATGGGAGTTCTGCCTGAAGCCCTTACAGCAGTCAGGGCAGCGGAAGGGCCTCTCATCCATGTGAATCCGCTGGTGCACGAGGAGCTTAGAGCTGGTCAGAAACGTCTTCCCACACTCCCCACACTTGTAAGGTCGTTCCCCAGTGTGGATCCTGTGGTGCTGGATCAGATGGGAGCTCTGACTGAATCTATCCCCACACTCCCCACATTTGTAGGGTCGTTCCCCAGTGTGGATCCTCTGGTG